TCTCTTCAAAATTAGCCTTCCACAACGGCCGCCTAGGGATTCTCCGGTGGTCGTCCTTTGGCCGCACGGCCGTCCCCCAGGTTTCGCCCCCTTGTGTCCGCTTGCACAGGTGGTGGAGGGCCCGCCATGACTGGTTTTGCCTTCTTTCAGGCCTCCGGTTGCAGTCTCCCGTCGTCGGCCTCCATTGTGTTGCGGCGGTGTTGGGCTTGGTGGGATTCTGGGGATGGTCGTGGTCCGAGCAACTTGCGGCTTCGGAGTCGCATTTGTTGAGGCTGAGGTGCCGATTTCAGCCCATCTCCCTCGCTCTCTGGGTTTGGGTTCGAGGGGAGACTGATGCTACCGAATTATGCTAGTGATGTTAGTGGGTCCGGGGCAACGGTGGTGTGGGTGGTGAATTTTGGGTTTCTCCGGCTGGGGGAGGGTCAGACTCCCGATGTGTTTTGGGGCTTGAGTTTCGTCCTTCGTTAGGCGGTTGGGCAATTTCGGGGCGATTTCGTGGGCTGCGAAATTTCATTGGGATCGACTGGTTGGCCTCGGGTTCGGCTCGGCAATGCCGCTGTGGAAGGGCTCGTCTATTTCTTGTTTTTGTTGTCTGTTTTGCTGTTTTTTGTTTTTAGGTGTGTTTGTTTGATTTGTCTAATAGGCTCTGTGTTTTTTGTTTAGGCCGTTGGCCTTTGTATGTCCCCGAGTGTAAGCGGGTATTATCCCTTTGGGATCGTTAATTCTGCTTCTGGAAGCTTCGTAGTTTTTATTAGTGTTTGTCGTGTCGTGAGTCTTGTTTTTTAGTTTCTAGCGTTGCTAGTGTCGGCACTAGGGTTGCAAACGAGCCGAACTGAGTCGAGCATTGGCCTTATCGAGCAGGATTGAATTTTTTTTAGCTGCTCGTTGAGCTCGATTTTTTAGGCTCGAGCTCGACTCACTAAAATAATACATGAGCTCGAGCTCGCTCGATCTGAACTCAAATTCAAAATGCTCGAGCTCGGCTTGAGTTCGGTTCGAATTTTTTCAAGCACTTTTGTAAAATAACCATTAAATACATATATACACAAATGATTTAGTAATTTCATATATCTCAAACTGCTCGCGAGCCGCACGACAATGCAAAATATGGGCTCGAGCTCGACTCGAGTTCGGTCAAACTCGAGCTCGACTCGAGTTCGGTCAAACTCGAGCTCGAGTCGAACTTTGACTCGAGCGCTTGCTAGCGACTCGCGAGCTGCTCGACTCGTTTGCAGCCCTAGTAGACACTAGGCGGTCTTCTGACCTGTCCTTCCAGTTTATTCAGCTTTTGGTTGTTTTATTCAGCTTTTGGTTGTATCTTTGCATTTTTATGCGTTTTGATATATAAAATTCTCTATCGTTCTGAAAAAAAAAAAAANATGAATTTAAGATTAATTTCATTGTTAATAATTTTTAATCTTCAAGAACTTTTAGCATTTGCTAGTGAGTTTATGATCTTTAACAACATTGAAAACTGTATAACTACTTGCTAATATTAAATATGTCATTGTGGAGAATACTTTTTAATTGGACACTTGATAATTTCTTGTTGAATCAACATAAGTAAAATCAATATAAGAAAATTAAATTATTAGTATAGTATAAGTTGAAATTAATTTTTAGAATGTTCTAAAAATATTTAATATTAATTTAATAATTTTTATATTAGGATGCAAATTTAGAAAAGAAAAAAAAATACATGAAATGACATAATGTGTCGACAAGGAAAAAAGATGCAAAACTAAGGAAAGAAACATGTTCGTTTATTATTTTCACTATTTGCAAGTGTACAAAGTAATTATAGCAAGCGGCGAGCAATGTCGTATTTCACAGAGATTGCAGTTAAATTAATTAAATACTAAAATAATAACGATTAAATATTATGTAGACTAATGAATTCAGATGTGTTGATATCGAAAATCGGACGATCCACCGTTGAAAATGAATCGAATCTTTTGTAGGAAAAACGAAGAACAAAATATTAAAATGGAGTGTTTTTATTTCTTATTATTTGAGAGTGTTCCTCTCTTTTTTCTTATTATTTGAGAGAGTGTTCCCTTTCTCTCTCCTCCCTTCTCATACATACACCCCTAACTTTTACAAGTGGGCTAATAAAATAAATAAAAAATGATACATTATTATTTAATGTAAGATAATTATCGTAGAGCCCGTTTATGACTTTTGACGGTTCCAATTGACGTCTGTCTTCTCGACAATGGTCGCGTTTATCGAAAGCGGGTTCTTAGTGATATATGGGTCATCCGACTACTTCAAATTCTGTTCGGCTCTGCGACGGGCGGACTCGCCATCCGAGTACCCGATCGACTTTTAGATGATCAGTCTTGTGTACCTGTTTGTATAGTTATTTATCATGTTTTTTTGGCTGCTCGGTTATTGGACCATTTTTTATTATTTTATTTATTAATCGGAGCCAAATTGGGTATCAACAAGATGATGATTGTAAACTAAACGAAGAACTAATTTATCTAAAAAAAAAATAGTAATAAAACAAGTTATAAAAAGATAGATTCTACGTCATGCTTTCTTCAAAAATTATTTATGAAACGTTTAAATTCATCTAAACCTTATTTTCTTTTACCAATCGTGAGATAATCGCTAAATTAATGTAACATTTTTCTCGAACAAGTTAAATCGTAGATCAATTGCTATCAACCTCCATAAGTTCTTAGGATTTTCATTATCTCATAAGATCCTATCAACCTTTCGGTTTGTTTATTATCTTATGTTATAAATTTCTCAATTCTAGCAAACAATTATGTCATCTCGGTCTCAAATCAATCATAAATACATATTCATAGTGGTCATCTACTCATACAATAAAAATAAGCATAAGAAATTCATAAGTTAAAAATAAACCGAAATAAAAGCAATAAAACAATATCATAAATCAATCCAGTATACTAACAAATCCTAGAATTTATAATAAATTTAGTCTAGAAACATGCTTATAAAATCTGAAAAATAAATCTAAAACATCGAGTTTGAAAGAGAAAGAAAAAGAAATAAAAAGCTTATTCGGTTTTGTCGATCTTTTCTTCTTGGATTTATCGCTCGTCGTGCGCTTGTTCCTAACCTCCATAAATTCTCTAAAACTCTAAAAAGCCCACCCAAAAACGTGCCCTAGTATTTCTTAAATAGTTGAGATTGATTAATAGTCGAAATAGGTCGAAAAAATCATAAAAAAGATAAAAAAAAATATTGGTCACGCCTAGACCCACACGACTCGTGTGGTATATCACATTAGTCACACGAGTGGTGTCAAAATGTGGAGAGTAATTTAAACATGGGGATGACTACAGTCCTGTTACATGATTGTTCTATAAGTGTTTTTCACCGATGGATACACATGTAGATTATGTAGTATACATAATCTACGATAACAAATGCTGACAGAGTCATTCTGTCCTGCAATAATTCTAAATGCCTAAGAATATTAATTTGATGATTCTAATATCCAAATTTTAATTTAAACATCAAAATGTAGGATATTTTAAAACTTAAAAAGGAAAGGAAAGGAAAGGAGCATTATATCAAATTGATAGCTAGTGTGGTCGCTCTCAGATAGGGTTGTTATCGAACCAAACCTAATCGAACCGAGCTTAAAGTTTTCGAGCTCGAGTTCGATTAATTTTTTAGTATGTTCGTGTTCGTTCGTTCAGTAAACGAACAAAATATTTCGTTCGTGTTTGTTCGTTTATTGGTTCGACATGTTCGTGTTCATTTGTTTATCTAGTCGAACCTGTTCATGAACTGTTCGAATTGTTTGACAAGTTCGTGTTCGTGTTTGTTAACTTTTTTTTTTTTAATTTTAATGTCATACAAGTTATTTTATTTATTATTTAATATCTATTCATATTTATATGTTATATTATATATGTATATACTATATATAATATATAAAATTATAAAATAATTTTTGTTCGCCAACGCTCGATTAGTTCGCGAACTTGTTTGTGTTTGTTCGATAACTAAACGAAAATAATTTTATGTTCGAATTTGATTCGATTGCTAAACGAATGAGCTTTGTTCGGGAACATTTGGTTTCAATGACAGTCCTACTCAGACTCCCCGTACAAAAATATCTCACATCTCTGTAGATCGATTTCTACTGTTGACGTATCAATTTCGAACTCTCTCTCTGGGCAGCTATCCCAATTTTGGACTTGTAACCTGAATCACAAAACTCCCAGGATCCTGTTATTTTTGCTCTACGCGCTCACAGGGAATATGGAGCCGCCGGCGACAGTTGGTGGAGGCGGCGGCGGAGCCGGAGTGAGGCGCCAGCAGCCGCAACAACAGCAGGGGGTTGGGAATATGTTGACGGGAATAATTAGGGTCGCAGTGTTGTGGTATTTCGCGTCCAAATTCTTTGGACCCAAGCGACCGCCTAGTACTCAGTCCTCTCACCAGATCTCCAATCTGTTTCACAAGGGAGAACCTCTGGTCCGTAAAATTCTCAAACTTTAAGGTTTATATGCACGTTAGAATTTAAATTGGTGTGTGATTGCGCAATTCATATCTTGCTAGTGGCCCTTCAGACATAATCTTGCTTTGGTGTTTGCTGGCAGAGTTGGATTATTTCTTGTGGCTCTTCATATGTAATCTTGTTTTGGAGTTTGCTGATCGAGTTCTGATTTTCAGCATGAAATGCACTTCATTTGATAGAAGTTTATTTATTTTTAATCTCATTATTGGGAAAATGAATTTGGAGTTGCGTTAGCTCAGGGGTCTGGCTGAAACTTACAGACCTAGATTGAAACCAAATGAATTCATATGCATCTTGCTTAGTGGGTAAAAGGAGTTAGACATGATAAATGTTTCAGAAAGAATATTCCTGTTTTGGGCTCAACAAAGAGTGCTCTCACACATTGTGTTGCTGTCTTGAGAGGTTATTGCAATGGATGGTGTTCAGCCTAGGTATTTCCCCCCATTGTTTTGTGATATATAACATGTTAATAGAACAGTAGTCTGTTGGATACATGTGTAGTTCGTACGTGTTGAAGCAAAACATTATACTTGTGAGGTGAAAAGTTGTATTTTGTCCTTGCAACTTACATTATTTTGAGAAGTATGGCGTGTCTCTTTGAAATAATGGATCTTTATTTGAAAAATATGATTTTTTTCTCTTGAAAGAGAGATTTTTTATTTAATGACTATGATTCTTGTATACGCGACACATAGTAGTTTTTGCATTAATAGAATGGCATGACATCCAGGAACTTGGCATAGGCTATTGTTACTAATCTACATTAATACCTTTTATGCGCACCCCCAGCCTTGTATGGAATCTTTTTATTTCCTTTGTTTTAAATGAATTTATTTATGTAAGGCGATTTGTCTGAAAATAATGTGTTTGATTATACAAGTTGTGATGAATTGTTTATACATATGGCATGTTTTTGTCATTATTATTACTAGTACAGTTTATGCTTCATGTTCTTTGTTGGAACTGTGATGAGTCAATTCATTAAGCTTTAAGATCATGTCTGAGTTGTGCCTCTTACTGAAGTGGTTTTTAAATACCAATATGCAAATTGCATGATATATTATAATGATGATTTTAGGCGTGGATAGATCAATATGTTATTCAAGAATAATCATTAAAGAAATTAGATGAAATTCGTAAGGGTGAACTATACGTTTGAATAGTTTGTATTGGTATCATAAGTTGCAGCAGTGGTTCACGTTGCAGTGATAGTAATTATCTGTGTGGAAATAGGTGGTCATGATTGGTTATGAATGCTATAAGACTGTTGTGAATTGTGGATTTAGCTAACTAGGGATGAGAATGACGATGAACCCATTAATTCTGTCGAGGGAAGCTCATTGATAATAATTATACAGATTAACTTATTTCAGACAATAGCCTTTTGCTATTCCATCTCAATCTTTAGACATTTGCAATTATATACCCTTCCCAAAAGTGGCTTCTGGGTACTATTATACTCCTTTACTAGACAAGCATTTAGGCGGATGAAAGTCGTCGGAAGGTTGATTCTGGAGTAGACCTCAGTAGAGCAGTGTTATACAATGTCTGAAGCCATTACAAATATCTTTGGAATTTATACTACTTTGTTGCAGAAATAAAATATCAGAAATTTATTGGAGAAAACTCCAGTGCTCCTCATTTGCATTTTAAATAAGAAAAGTCTCACGTCGTGAAAAAACAAAAAGTGAAAGCTAAAGAGTTAAAATTGCACAATCTTAAGGTTGAGCACATGAGCTAGAATCAGGAAGTATAAAAATGCCCCTGGGCCACTGCTTGAGTCCATCCTCAGATATAAAATATTTTACTGGGCTAAGAGAACATAAACTTGAAAGTTAGGATTGGTTCTGGTTGAATAAAGATGTTCTTAAATTTCTTAATATAATTTTGTAATTAAAGGATAACAGTTCCATTTCTCCTATCCTCCCAGCCTCCCCCAAGTTAATGACCGTACTGTGGTTCTATGTGGAATCTGTAGCCATACCAATTAACCTTTGACCCTTGTTTTTCTTCCACTTCTCGCAAAAATGACAAATATCCATTGATTCTGCTAGTGTTGTCCCTCTAAACTTGAAAATGTCTTGCATATGTTTCCAGGATATGTGGGTATATCTTTCTGAGCAAGAGAAATTTAATGACTTCGGCAGTGAGGGTGCCCTTGTCTGGCAGGAGACAAATATACCTTTCGCTATTTGGACAGCAGACAGTTCCAGAACTCTATCCATGAAGTATTATCCTTCTGAGGTGTTGATTATTATATTGATTATATATTTTTTTTTTGGGAATTGTTTGTTTCAAACAAAACTGTGCTTTCGTTTGTAGGTTTTGCATTATGTTCATTTTTACCTTCTGTTAATTTTTGTCCAGGAAGCTAATTAAAAAATACTTACCTGATTCTTAGGCTTTAAAGCACAATGGGAGTCTTTATGCTCATGTTTTCTTTGCTAGGTCTGGCTATCCGCCAGACCCGAAGGACCCTGAGTACCAACCTTTGGCTGCTTTTGGGAGGACCCACCGTGAGAATCCTTATTATTTTATGATATGATTTACAGGTTTGTCAGGATTGTGCTTGTCTAAAAAGCTATTCTGTTCTTGTTTTATATAGCTTTGGTGACATATTTGCCCAAAAAGGCTGACAAGAAGAAGAGTCTTTTAGGGAACTCCAAGGACGCTGGAGTAGATGAAAAGGCTACCGATGTATCTAGTCTTAGCTTTTCCTCACTTGATGCATTCAAAATTTATGCTGGGCTTCGTGTTTTTTACTTTCTTAATTTGAAAATTGAGTTCATTTGGTGATATATATATATATATATATATATATATATATTGTGTTTTTCGTTTGTCGTACTATAAAAAGTTCATGCTCTACAGCTGTTCTTATTTAAAAAAAAAAACGATTTTGGTTTAGATACCCAAGGATTCTAATGATGATGAGAAAGAGGATGGACCTGTTGAATGGATGTCATATTGGAAGCCTAATGTTACAATCAATCTGGTGGATGATTTTACCAGGTATAATATTGCAAAACATTCATGAGATAATTATGAATTGTTTATTTTGGTGTTTTTTAAGCTAGTAACGTCGGTCCCATTAAAGCTGATGTACAATTTTATGTTACTGTTGTTTTCATTCCGAACCTTTTTATCACTTTGTTGTTTCCAATATAATATTCTCTATTGAAACTCTATTCAAGCACTCATTGACTGTATGTAGTTGATAGCAGATCCTGTGACTCTAGTAGATTATCACAGAAACTAGTGGAATTTGATTTGACATTCTTCATGGACTTCCAAACTGAGACTTATTTTGCCACGTTTTGGATTTTGGACTAAAAGCTGTGCACTTCACAAATTTAGAAAGACTGGCTGAAGATCATTTTGGGTTGGAGGGTTTGGCAGGATTGGCTGGGATAATGGGAGTGAGAATAATCTATATTGTATTGTTTTCTTGTCTGTGTAGAGCCCGCTCCTTTGCAACATTAAAAGCTGTTATTTGATTGAGAACGGGTGTCGATAATAAATAGCAGTGCAACATATGATATGGATCTCCATAAATGGGAGGGTACAGATATATAGTATTTTGAAGAACTGCGCTGTAATACTTCACCGTAAAATTGTATATAAATAGTGGAGGGAGGTAGGGCATTCGGAATTACAATGTGGTTTGGGATATCATATCTTTAGTCTTAGAGTGGAACACTGAGGAAACTGTTCAAACAAGATTTCGATGTTAATATTGATGTCCATGTTTCTGGGGGTGCTTATATGTGGAGCTCTTTCGCTGCAAATGTTGAGAAGTTTTGTGCATTAAGCTCGAGCATAATGCAATAATGTTTCTTCTTGAACATATGGATTAACGTATACTTTCGTCTGCCTTACATGCTTTGGTTGTATGGTTGTCTTTTTATTGTCAGCTCATGGTCATGGCTTTTTGGCCGGTAAAATGCTCATATGAGAAATGTTTTCGTTTGCAGATACACTCAGAATGCAGTTCCGCCAAATATTGCTCCTTGTATCCTTGAGTTATTGCCAGTTTTACATGGTTATGGCCATTTTCTTTGTTTGTCTCAAAACCTTGTCCCATTGCTATTCCCGTGAGTGGTTTAGGTTTTATTTGCCTTGTTCCCCATCAAGAGAAAACTCGGGGTTTGAATGATATAATTCATGATGGATTGGCTTTATTAGACAACATTTTCTTAGAAAAGCAACTAAATCAAATGCCCGGTCAAGTTCCTTAACTTCAGTACACAAACTCATTTACTATGGAGTGGCTGCTTCTTAGTTTCAAGCCATTATGAAATAGCAGTGCTACAAATATTTTTGCTTGTCTGTTATTATGGATGGCGGTTGCTTACATATGCCATGTTGCGTTGGTATTTGTTGTGGGGAATATAGTTTTTTTATCTAATCAATAGTGATGATGCCTTTTAACTTTTTCACTATGTAATTTCATCAGAAATGTCATGTACCTTGCATCCCTTTTTTTATCAGAGATGATTTATTTGAATATTGCTCGATGATCAATATCTCTTCACTCTATATATGAGACATTTTATGCCCTTTTGATTCTACAGTTCCACTTATTTCATGTAGAGCTTACAATCCTAAATACAATGATTGTGTTTCATCATTTGTGTCCAGTGATCAAACATATGTATAAAGTTTTATGTTCATGATCAGTTTCCTAGATGAAGTTCAACGTTTTGGATGTCAAAATATAATTTCAGGAAATCTGAATACAATTGGTTTCTTGTGCATTTCTCATAAATGTTTATTTATGCAGGAATTCTGGTTTCCGAGTTATGTGGTTTAGTTAGGCCCCCATTATAAAGTTTTCCATGTCAGCTCTTCATGCAGAGCATTGTAGGACTTTNGCATTTTAGGAAGAGCTAGTGTTGTTATAGCATATGAATTGTATCTATAATTGGGTGGTTGATTGTCTATACCCTCTAAACTCTCATGATTGGCTGAACAACCATTTTATATCGTAATAGCTGGTTCCTTGACTTGAATTGTAAGACTTGAACATTGAGTATAGTACAGGAAACTACTATCCCACCATATTCTTCAATGACTTTTGGTTACTTCGGGATAAGTTGGTACAAATCAATGAGACGGTGAATGAATTGCCCCTGAATTTAGAGGTTGGTCCCATTAGCATGACAAAATGGCAGCTATACCTACAGATTGACCAGTCATTCCAGATTCATAGGAATTATGGAAGCATGCTTGAAGGTGAAGCTGATGAACTTAAGGTACGATTATGACATTATGCTTTCTTTTCTATGGTATATCTTTTCCTGAAGAAATATTTGTTGTGTATGTTTATATGAAAATGCACCTGAATAATCTGTTTGGAATTTGCATATTCATTCACCACTAGAGAATTATAGTGTTTAAAGACATCTAGTGATTTGATATGCTTTTGTATTTTTGGTTGGTGTTTGACGTTACAAATGGCTTACTAGTTATTTGATCTTTCAAACAGAGAGTCTTTCTGGAGGGGAACCCTTACCTTTTGGTAGTTACCATGCTTGTATCGGTACTTCACTCCTTGTTCGACTTCTTGGCTTTTAAGAACGGTAATGACATTGATTACCATATTTTGTGCACTGTCGATGAAATTTGCCTTTTGAACCTACTTTTGAAGCATGTTATATACTTTTTATTGTATTCAGATATTCAGTTCTGGAATAAAAACAAGTCCATGGAGGGATTATCCGCAAAATCTGTTGTCGTGAATTTCTTCTCTCAACTAATAGTCTTCCTTTATCTCCTTGACAATGAAACTTCGTGGATGATACTTGCAAGTTCTGGTATTGGCTGCTGCATCGAGTTCTGGAAAATCGGAAAAGCCATGCATATTGAGGTCTGCTTTAAAGTCATCAGTTGAATTTCCATCATATATTAGTAGGGCTGTAAACAAACTGAATGTTTGCTAACAAAAGCTCGTTTGAGCTTGTTCGTGTTTGACAAAAGCTCGTTTGTTTGTTAATCGAGCCCAGTTCGAATAGAAAATTAGGCTCGTTTGATAATCGAACGAACGCGAGCTCGTTCACGAACGTTCGATAATGTTCGCGAACATTAATTTACTATAATTTATTTTATTTTTTATATATTTATATAATATTTTTAATATAAAGTCTAAAATATAAAAATATTGTCATTTTTTTTTTCGAGTTCGAACGAACAAATTTCGAGTTAATCAAACATTGAAACATATTTAAAAAGTTTATGTCCTAAACTATTCGAACACTAACGAACTCGAACTTTGACGAACTAAACGAATGAGCTCGAACACAATTTTTTGTTCGAAAAATAAACGAACGAACACAAACACCGTTCGAACGTAAACGGACAAGAGCTCAAAGTGCCCAAGCTCGGCTCGTTCGGTTCGATTACAACACTATTAGTATATATTTTCATGCCTAATTTAAGGTCTGTCTGTTTTGTTGTAATGAAACTGTTATCTTTGTTCTTTTTATTCTCTTGATTCAGGTTGACAGATCAGGTGTGATACCAAGGCTGAGGTTCCGTGACCGTGAGTCATATGCTAGTAACAAGACGAAAGAATATGATGATATTGCAATGAAATACTTAACATATGTTCTCTTGTTTCTCGCTGTATGTTTCTCTATTTATTCTCTGAAGTACGAACGTCACAAGAGTTGGTACTCTTGGATTCTCTCATCCCTTACGAGCTGCGTCTACATGTTTGGTTAGCATCTAAATCGTCCTTTTAGTATTTTTTTTCCCACTTTTCTTTTTCGTCCTTTGAACTATATATATTGTTTCATACTTGGAGTTTGAAGAAGTTAGTATTATGATCTGTTTGCCTACCTTGTGATGGAGAAGCAACCAGGCGAAGAACTAAAAACAAATACAATTTGTACTTGGATTTTATTTTAAGAATGTGGTAATGATAGTAATAACAAAGTTAAGCGATTCATGATATTTTTGAAGCCATACTTTTAGTTATAATTCTAGAGTTTAGAAATATAATAACATTTGTTTTACTCTAGAAATATAATAACATTTGTTTGGTTTGCTGCAGGTTTTATTATGATGTGCCCTCAGCTGTTTATTAATTATAAGCTAAAGTCTGTTGCCCATATGCCATGGAGGCAGATGACATACAAATTCTTGAACACGATCATTGATGATCTCTTTGCATTTGTTATAAAAATGCCGATCCTTCATCGACTTTCCGTCTTCCGTGATGGTGAGTTGTCAAACAATTCTTTTTTTTCTAAAGTGAAATTTTCTTTCGCTGATTAAGTGCGCAACACTTTGTTTTAGTAAATTATTGTTTGTTTATTGTACCTTGTATTTGTGTTTAAAACATTCAACTTTGCCACACAATTTGTTACTTCGAACATTTGCTCTAGCATAACAAAAGTTAAAAATTTCGTTTCAGATTATCTTTTGTTTGTTTTACGTTCACAAACAATTAATTTTTTTTTGATGTGCAGATGTTATTTTCTTGATATACCTTTATCAAAGATGGGTCTACCCGGTGGACAAGAAACGAGTAAACGAATTTGGTTTTGGTGGGGAGGATGAACAAGCCACGACCACTACTCAGGCAATAGAGCAGAGTGAAGAAGAGAAGAAAACTAACTGAGTCATTACGAGTCAGGCAATAATCATTTCTCTTAACTCAAAAACATAATTTTGTTATCTGTTTTTTAGTTTTCTTGGTTATATTAGATTGGCTGTTGCCTTTACCTGGTGCTTGCAACTGGTTTGATTTTTATCTTCTTTTTTAATTGGATTCTTGGAATTTTTTTTTTTAGTAGATTGGTGCCAAGCATCTCAGGTAGAGGTTAATATATATGTTGTAGGCATAAGAGAAGTGCAGCCCTGAAGACAATAGAAAGAATATTACAGTTCAAGTCAAATTATTTTCTAATGGCTAGAAATAAAATATCATTTTTCGATGAGTTTTATTTTGTACCATGTGGGATTGATGAGTTTTATGTTATATAAATAATGGGGTACTGCAAAACAATTACTACCTCCTATTCTTTTTAAATGTCATTTTGGCTTTATCAACTATTAACCAAAATAAATGTCGTTTTGGATCTTTTGTACATATTTTTCCATTATTACCCTCATTTAGTTAATAAATACACTACGTCTTTTCATATTCTCTTCATCTTTTTTTTTTAAAACATCCATCTCTATCTTCATTAATGAGGGTTATTATTGGCAAAAAAATTATTCTTAATTAGTGTGCAACTTCCCAAAACGACACTTATTATGAATAGGAGGGAGTATTAAATATTTTAAATTATACATACAAGGTCATTTTTCGGTTATTCCTGCTTTGGAATCGCCACTGGTAGCCGGACTTTGGCTCAATTGTATTGGACATGACAGGTAAGTGCTATTCAAACTCTAATGAAGTATATCATCGGAAAAACATAAATAAACTCATGATGATGTTTTCTTCTATTATACATTTTGAAAATTTTTGTAAAAATCTAACATTCAAAATAAAATCATACATACATCATTAGTAAATAAAACATAAATTAAAAACTGATACAATTTTAAAATTAATAACGAAAGGAAATAAAAAATTACCAATCATAAAAAAATAAAATTTAATATTAAAAACTACGTAAATGTATAAACAAAAAAAATGTAGGCGAAACATGTAATTTTTCCCCTTTCATGAAGTAATAGTATGATTGAGAAGCTCTTAGGAAAAGAATAGAAAAAGAAAATATACACAATATGTAAATTCCCTATTATGAATGGAAAAAGGATCTCATAGGATTTTCACACTTTTGGTCAAAGATAATTCAATAATATAAATAAATATATTCAATCTAATTCCTTATCATGACCTATCTACCTCAACACAAGTCTATTCAAAATAATAATAATAATAATAATAATAATAAATAAATAAATTAAAAAACAATAAAAGACTTCAATTTTCTGGCAAAATAATTAAGGGGTGATTGGATATGAATTCAACTAGTAAAAATTTTGTTTTTTTTTTAACTATAGTTAAATTTGGAAAAAAAGGTGGTATGATTAATTGTTAGTGGATATATTAAAATAATATTTAAAATAAAATAATTAAAGTTGATTTGATATAAAGGTAGGAGAATGTGAGTGGATGAATAGTGAATTAAAGTTGATGTGATGTGTAAGAATGATTAGTTGATATTATTTAATTATATTGATAATATTAAGGATAATAGAGTTGAGTTAAATTTGAGTTTTGATTAATTTTTTTACTGTGTAATTTATAAACAATCGCCCCTAATTGTTTGATAAAAGCCCTCTCCTTGTGGGATTATTTTGGTCAACTCAAATATAGCAGCAATATATACGCTTGAATATTAATGTCTGAATTATAATTCCCTTACGACCAGGGCTTTAGTGTTGACTATTAAGTCATTTATTCAAAGTCATTTATGTGTAAAGGGAGAAAAAAAAATAGGCACAAAACTTTCACAATATATGGTTAGAACTGTGAATAAATATCCTAGAACATAGACACAAAAATCAATGAAAGATGAAACACGAATTTCAAGATATTTAATTAACAAATAAATATAGAACTAAGCAGATGTAACAATTAAGCAATATATATATATATATAAACTTATATATATAAACTAATACATATTTTTAAATCGAAATAATAACTCCAAGAAATAACAAACAATAAAAATACAAAATTTCATAATATAATTTAAATATGCATTTATGTTACATATGATGGGTCCGACTGCCTAATGATTAGGCTGGTTTATATAAGATATTTTGAAAAAAAACGTAGATATTCTCTCTAATCTAAAGAAATGTGGCTCAAACTGTCCATTTTGGTCAAAAGAGCATCAGATATAGATTGAAAGCAGNATATTAAATTATCTTCAATTGCATAAATTGACACCCTACAAAGTATTGACGCATAAAAAATTATTTTGGAAGAACTTCGTTTTATGATATCGAAATGTATATGGGTTATGGACTGAATATGTATGTCAACCAATAAAACATTTTTTGTGAATTTTATTAATATCATATGAGTTACTAGAAATATAATTAAATAACTAATAAAGCATTGTATTGTATTCAAATTCGTACACTGTACACATAGTTTAAAGAAAAATGTTACTATAATATGCCCTAAACACAAAATTCCACATAAATTGATATGCAAGTATATATAAGTATATATATATATATATATATATATACAAAAGTGCAAAACAAACATAACTTTTACTTCAATTGCAATTTCATTAAAACTTTTCAGTTTGACAACTTCAGGCACAATTTTTTAATTACTGCAAATTGAGGCAGGAATCTAGCTTGTGTCCAAATATATTTTTAATATAACCTGCCCTACAAATAAAATATATTTCCAATTAATTTATAACACCCTATAGCAAATACAAATTTGATGACCACATTCGAATGTCATCGGTGAATCTGGCCAATGTAACAAAAGATCTACTCTGTTTATGAAGGCTCTAGGTTATATAATTTGAGGTGACATATATAGGCAGTGATATGTGATAATATCGGGTTGAATAGACACGATAAATCAAACAACCTAGTCGTGCAAAGTAGTTGGTCTAAATTCTGTTAGACCACGTGGCCCTCGAATGACCTGATTGAAATTTGACTTGAAGGCATGACTTATCGATTGATCGTTCAGAAGAGCAGAACATACGAGCTTAGCGCAGAAGACACTCTACCTTGAGACGTACGTATCAAGTCTGTCGCACAACGTTTAATAAGACAGACTAATGAATAAAAGTAATATTATTAAAATAAGAACCATATGTGGATAGGGCCGCGTGGCCTAACAGAATTTAGCAGACCTGACAGTTCAGCCTAAAAAAACATGTGTGCATATTTCGTAAAATATTTATACACAATATTTCATTTTAAATTTATTTACACAATTTGAATTAGTTACATAAATAAATAATTAACTCAGGTAGATGTAACTTTGGATGTCATGGTTCCCGAAATTCTTGTCGCCGGCTTGATTGGAAGGTTTGGCGCCAACATATCAAAGCTCAATAACGAGTTTGGAGGGAATATTAAGGTTTATGGTGGGAGTGGTGACAGGTTGCTATTGCCAAACAACAGGTTGATGAGTACGTCTCTGCCGAGTTTTAGTACTGTTCAGTTTTAGTAATTTTATAGTCAACCGTCAGTGTTGACTCGTCGATTGCGTGTCGTCGCCATGTCGCGTTTGAGGTAGTCAATTATGTGTGGGTCATTTTAACGATTGATAGATTTTCTGCTCGTGAGAATACCAAATTATCAGTCCGTAAAATTAGCCCAGTCGAAATTGTGGAGACGAGATTGCGCCGAATTTGAGGACAAATCCTGTGTGAGAGAGGAAAAATTATGGAGACGAGATTACGTTGGTTTTTTTTGGACAAGAATGATCGTTTTAACATTATTTGTTTAATAATTTATTTCTATTATTTTATTTATTTATTTTCTGTGTTTCAATATTTATTAAGTGCATCCTTTATTTATGTTAGAAAATTTATTTATGTTATTTGAGTCCTTTATTTATTGGACAAGCTATTTACTTAGGTTAGGAGTTATATTTAAAGATTTCTCTTCTATTGTTTTTGGATGAGTTAGTTTTGATTGAAATAAAGTATATTGAAAATTTCACTTAATTTTAGACTTTCTCTGCGTCAGTTCATAAATTACAATGTTATGAAAACGTGAAGCTATAGTGTTTAATTCATAGGTTTAATGATTGCCGAAAAATGGTAGTAACTTATTAGTATTTCAAATATATTATTTAAGTACTAAATTCATATGAACTATAAAAATCAAAGTAATAGTACGAATGAACATATTGGTAAATAAAATAATTTGTACATGTTCTATACTTGTATATATTTAAATATGTAATACTAATAGTTATTTTAAAAGAAGGGAATGCTGCCGTTCGGTAGACGGTTCTTTAATTCAACGTGCCTATCATCTCATTTCCCTTCACAACCTAATTCAAAACACTCGTTTGTATGTAGCTATCGATAATAAATAACACCAAAATTCCGCCATCAAAGCCTAAACTGACGAGATAGCACACGCACAGGAAAACACAAACAAATGCTCATTATTAAATGTAATATAATTCCCCAACTAATTTTCATACAAGAGAACATGCACAATAAATACGCACACCTAATTAATTCATATAAATTCCACCATTCTATTCTACTACCCACACTATACATATAAAGTAAAACCTTTTTCCTTCTTCTTATTCAATTTCCAATTTTTTTTTTTATTTTTTTGTCACCAAAGATCATATATTTTCCATATTTGTTTATTAAATTTCGGTGTTAGACATGAACACTAGTACAGAGGATTTCACATTCCCAGTAATTATCACTAGCAACGACGTTAATGTCTTTCCTTCTCTATGGCGAATTTGCTCAATCGACCAATCGGATAATTGCGCCCATAATTCCGAGCACCAAATTGGGATCATATTTAGAAAGAGAATTTTCACGAGCTTGCCACATTTGGAAAGTGACAAAAATGGAAAGTTAGATGGAGGCTCAAAGGCAGATGAAGAGAAGATGGACGAGCTTTGGGAGGATTTCAACGAAGAATTATTACAAGACGGATTAGGTAACAATCTTGAGACTAATTTTAGTGATGGTAGCAATTGTCCCTTGGAATTGTCCTCCAATTATTCTGAGATTTGTTACAGTAATGGTGACGATCAAAGTGATGATTGGTTTAGGGATGATTTTGAGGAAGGGCTGAAAATGGAGTGTGGGATTTTGAAGAGAAAGAATTTAGATTTGTGGGGGAAGATGTTGAAGAAGCTGTTTTTGCTGCAAAATATAGCTGCTGTCAAGAAAAAGAGTTCATAATTAGTTACTTACCCTTGGTAATTTCATTTTGTACTACAAGAATTTATTAACTGTGTAATACATAATTTTTCAGTGGAATTAGTGAATAAAGATTCTTGGATGAGCAGTGAAACAATTTTACTAGATGTGAGAATCACTATTTTCACCTCAGAGCAAGTCTTTTTACACCAATTATTCAAACATTTTCCTCTTCACACCTCACTTGATCACATTGTGCAATCATGTAATGTGGTACGGTCATATGATGTGGTCACAATATTATCGTATTTGAAGTGTGTGGGGAGTGTAAGAGTGCGACTTTTATTTAACAACACGAAACAAAATGCCGAAGTGATCAAACAAAATTTCCTTTAGGAAGCATCTCGTTTCTCTCTGAACTCTTTCACTAGTAAATAGTCGCGCACGCGTAGCACAGTACAGAAATACAAGATTAGAACTCACTTTTAATCCTATTGTCCTAATACTCCACTTCTCGAATTACTTTTCTGGCCATCACTTGGACTTAAAAACCTATAGTGGATCACTCCACAGACACACAAACACTTCTCTCAAGTGTCGTGAGAAAAAACCAAAAAGATAAAAGTATTTATCTTTTTAGCCCGTAAGAATAGGAACTGAAAGCTCGACTAAATCTATGAAATACAATGTCGCACGTACGTGCAAAAAGTTGGAGAACTAACAAAGACCTTACACTGCATGGCAGCCGTTCGAGTTCTCATCGTGAGGAATAAAAATGATCAATTTCTTTTCGTGAGAAATATGAGCTTTCAGAATTCTATTACAATATCGTCCTTTTTCTTTATAGAAATTCTTCAGAAATTTCGTTGATGGTAAGTTTCCTTCACTGCTAAGTCTTCATTATAAGCGTATATACTTGGTAAGTTTCCTTCACTGCTAAGTCTTCATTATTAGCGTATATATTGAAAGCTTAACTTTAGATGTTATTTACACTCCTTCTATTGAATGAGAATTGTGTTTGATTAAACAAGTTTTGTGTTATATTGTTTTGCACTTGGATAAAATGGTCCATCACATATGAATAGAAGATCATTTTGTCAGTCACTGGCGAAACATAAAAAATGGCTCACAACCTAGATTGAAATGAAAAAACCATCGAAACGGTTGCAGTGTACTGTACAGTTGATCTTGACTGATTAGTCGCACTAGTAGACTTGTGTATTAAACGAATCTCAGAGAGTAGCAATTTAGTTTATACTGATCATCGTAATTCGTAAATGAACTAGACTCGATTAAGTTACTGCATTCTCTTAACCTATAAGATATAAATACACTAAGACATTGCTTTGATTCACCAAACAGTGAGGTACATTCTGTCTGGACTAATAGTCTGGGTGAGTTGGGTGGTGATATGTTGCATGCATGGTGTGCTGTTCGAATATTTACGGTCACCCATGTGCGTTAGTCTGATGATGTCCCGAAGTAAGCTCATGAAAGATTATTATTGTTAAACCCTGCAGGTGGATTAAGTTCCGACATTATAATAATAGTTTGAGTGGTACTAGCTTTGGTTCAAGATGTGATCAATTAATTTGATTGTCAACAATTAAATTAATTGACGGACATTATATCTTAAACATGGAAAGGTAATTCGGGTAATTATTATTGGAGTTCAAATTGTAAATTGGAAATTAAATTGGGATTTTAATAATACTACTTTAGTGGAATGACTGTAATATTCGTATATGAGCGGAGTTCAATAATTATACTACCTCGTACGACCCGTGACCTTCCGAGCACACCGCGTGACATCCGCTCGCACACAGTTGTGCCTTAGCCGCACGACACACGACCAGCCGTGCCTCGACCAACGATCACTGGCGATTTCGAGCTTCTGGAGACGATCGGTTCTGACAAATGAACTCAGACAATATCCTCCAATGGAAATCTACAACGTCTCACAGTTTGCAATTTTAAGCCGTAAGGACTCTACGCTAAACCTTAGAATCGTTGCACATAGGTATAAATTGTTGAATTTAGTTCGTGACTTGCACAATATGACGATCTTTACTGCTCTTTTTTTCTTCTTCTTTTTTCTCTTCCTCCTTTATCCGCAGCACCCCCTGGCTCTGGTAATAAATTCTTCAGATGCAAGCTTCCACTTTCATTTTCTCTTTGCATTTCGGCGCATCATGTCAGCCGACGAGTTGCAACAACCGCCAACTGGTTGTTGCGGCCGCCGACCAGGTGGACCTCCTTTCTTTTCGGTATTGTTTGGTTGGGACAAAACAGAGCGGAGGGGAGAGATTTTTTTACTTTACTCTTTTTTTGGTTGGGAAATTTAGATAGGAGGAAAGGAAAAAATTTAACTTAAAATGCCCTCCCATTTTCATTTTTGCTCCCCTCCAAGAATGGAGGAATTTCGAGGGGAAGAAACATTTAATACATTCAATTACAATTTTACCATTTTTATATATAATATTTTAGCTTTTATTTCTAACATCAATAAAGATATATTTGTCATTCTACATTATTTTTCCTCCTTTTTCATTTTTTTATCAAACAAGGTTTACCATTTTTTCCCAACTCTCCTCCAACAAAATCCTTCAAAACAAAATAAACTATTTTACATTACCTTCCTTCCTTTCTCTCCCTTCTATTAGATCTCTTCCCTCTCTTTTCCTCCGTTAACCAAACATGGACTTCAAGAACCTACTGGATTTAGTTGGACTGTTTTGCTAAGTCCCCAACGTACTTTTTTACTTCTTTTTTTTTTTTCTTCTTTCTTTGGGCCATTTAGGCCTAACGCCTTTTTACATTACACTTGGCTAATAAATT